CCTACCTGTGTGATGGGTCAGTGACTTCCTACAGTTGGACCTGGGGATCAGCAGCCCCAGAACACACACAGCCCCCAAGCACTGCTCAAGGCTTGCAGACTGAAACAGAAAACATGCTGTTAGCACACCACAACCCCCCTTCCCCTCTGCCAGAGCCTCCCAGCTCCATTCATGGCTGTCAGCTGTCAGCATGGCAAATCATCACCTTCCAAGCCGTTTGGCAGGAGCAGAACCCGAAGTGACACTGGGTAAGAGTCACCTGCAGTGCAGAGTAAGAGTTAAGACCACAGCCTTGACATTTGTACCTTTGTTCTTGGTTTCAAGTGCTGTGGTAGAACCCCTACAAGGGACCACACGAAACCCTGTCCGTCTGCAACATCAGCATCCTCCTGCAGTTCACAGCAAGTCCCCATCCCCTGGCAAGGATCTTTCTCCAAGCCCTCCTCAGCTCTCCCATGCAGGGAGGCAGGTGGGAGCAATCTCAGCCAACTCCAAACTGCCCCAAGAGAACAAACTCCCCATTCCGAGGTCTCCAAGGCCACTGCTCTTGACTGGTACCATCCCCACAGCCAAGACTGGCTCCAAAGTTTGCTCCCAATCCCTCAATTAGGCTGAAGAAGTCAAGTTTTATCCCAGTGCAGCTGCTGGGCTCTTGGGACAGACCAAACCTCCTCCCTGCTGTTTACCTGACACTTGTGGCCTCACTGAGCAGAGCACAGCCAGTTTGGGAACAACCACAGGTACCTCCTGGCTTGGAGCCCAGGCTGGGCTAGTTTTGTGCAAAGGCAGGTGGCAAAAACCATTTCCCTCACCTGGCCACAAAACCCAAAGTGTCATCAGTACACCTCTCCCCACATCCCCTCTGCTTCCATCTCCCCAGTAACTGGACTGGGCAGTTTGGAGTGGAATTTGGGGCTCCCAGGCACAGACCCCTCTTACACCCAGCCCAAAACCCAGCTGTGCGCAGTGCCAGGGTGTCTTTGCAAACCTTCAGCTGTGGCACAGCAGCAGCAGGAGCCAAGAGCAGCACCCGAAGGGTGCCCAGCCAGCCCAGAACTGCCCCAGAACCAGCCATGGGGACACACTTCACTCCTAGACCTTGTCTCCTCCTCTTCACTCCTAGCAGAGTGAAGCTCCCCTTGAGCTCAGACTCCCAAGCCCACGTTGTGCCCTTAAGCCTGTGCAGGGGGGAGGCTGCACAAAATGCAGCACTGGGACTTTTGGCTTCAGGACAAGCTGCTTCCTCACAAGGCCTTGAGGAAGACGAATGACAACCCCGTTGTTGTGGCATGGAGCTTGTGCAGGGAGCGACTTACCCTGAGGGCTGGAGGAATCCCTGTGGTGGGTTCCCTGTGCACATCTGGATCCCACAGCCCCGGCTTCTCCAGCTGCTGGAGCAAAGCAAGAAGCAGAGCCTCACCAGGGGAGCAGCAGCCATGAGGGTGGTTTGCTCACGAGGGCTGTTAGCTCAACCCTCTCACCGCTTCCCCTTTCTGACAGCACAAACAAACCCACCTCTCCCACGCTGCATTTTCCACAACAGCGGCCCCAGTGCTGCCCCAACAATCCCTCTCACCCTCCGGAGGGTCTGGGCTCCGGGAGGGTCCAGTAGAGTCCCCAGGGGGGTTGCAAACCCCCAGAAACGCAGCAGGAACCCTGGGAGCTGCTGAACTTGCAATGGCTGCGAGGAACAGCTATTGCCACAACTGCTTCCTGTTCCCTTCAGAGAAAAACCACTCTGTGTGTGTGCATGGCCACGAAAGCCCGGCACACCCAGCCCAGCCCGGGGGCTCCTTGCACCATTTGAACCTCACAGGGCTCCTATGAACGAGTCCCTTGTCTTTGCTGTCATGGTTTGACCTTGGGCTGCAGCAGAGACCCGAAGCCCAGCAGGTCTCAGTCTTACAGAGAATGAAACGACAGCAAAGCACGGAAATGCCTGTGATGGCCAAATTCATCCACGCAGGTGAGAGACAGGGACTTCAGCTCCAGGGCCAGAGGGGTGATGCCCCTGGTCCAGGCTCAGGTTTGTCCACACAGCCATTCCCTCCTTCCCAATGAGCCCCGTGGCTGATGCACACACACTACTCATCCCAGAGCCCCAAGCACTCGCCAGCCCCAGCCAAGCCCTAATCAGAACAAGATCCACTCACACTCCAATTACTCAGAGACCGCAGCTTTGGCAGCACTTAGAATAGCAATTACCCCGTGCTCCAGGAAACCACAAGAGCAAAGAGAAATTAAGGTTTAATTTCTCTGAAGTCCACAAGAGCTCGATTAGCATCAGAGATCAGGGCTGCTCCTAAACACCAGGCAGCTGCTCCAGCTGATGGGATGGTGAGTTGTCCTCGGCTCAAATCAGGACAAGCTCTTCTCCTTCAGCACGTCTGACACAGTTTGGGGGTTGCTGAAGCTGAGCTATGCAGGCAGACTGGAAGGGATAAGGGCAGGAGGGCTGACTGAGCCTCGGCAGCCTCCCCACCACATCTTAGAGAGCCCAGCAGGCAGCAAAGCTCCCAGGACAGCAAGTTCAAGCTTTGTGGCTTTGCTTAATTTTGCGTTTTAGGATCCCCAGAGAACAAGCTTGTGCCAGAAGAAGCAACTCTAAAACATCTTAAAATACTAATTTGTATGTCGTCATTCCCCCAGTAAGAGAACTCCAGATGGGCTCAGTAAAGAAATGGCACTGGTGAGGCCTTGAGTTCTGTGTCCAGTTCCAGGCCTGGAAGAAGGACACTGAGGGGCTGGAGCATGTCCAGGGAAGGGAATGGAGCTGGGGAAGGGGCTGGAGCACCAGAAGCAGCTGAGGGAGCTGGGAGGGGCTCAGCCTGGAGAAAAGGAGGCTCCCCTCTGCAACTCCCTGACAGGAGGGGGGAAGCCAGGTGGGAGTTGGGCTCTGCTCCCAGGGAACAAGGGACAGGACAAGAGGAAATGGCCTCAAACTGTGCCAGGAGAGGTTCAGGCTAGACATCAGAAGAAATTTCTTCACTGAAAGGGTTGCCAGGCATTGGAAGGGGCTGCCCAGGGAGGTGGTGGAGTCACCACCCATGGAAGTGTTTTTGCAAAATCGCGCTACTTGCTTTTATAGCAACTCATTGCATGGGTATACAACTCCCTGTATCCTCTTGAGGGGCAAGTCAGGGAGCAGAGCTCCACATGTGTCCAAAGCAGACTCCAAGGTTGGGCAAGGAAAGACCATGAGCAGGGCTGAGGCAGGAAGAGCCAGGGCCAGAGCAGCTGTCAGGGAGGAGCTCAGCAAACCACACTGTGGCTGGATGGAGTCACGGGGAAGGAAATACTAAGCCATCATATTGACTCTACCAGATGCTTGGCTGCACCACACCACCTGGCTGGCAGCCCCACAAGGAGCTGGCACCAGCAGCAGCTCCTGCTCCTGCTGAAATGGCCACAGCAATCCCACCTGAGTGATGTCACTGAAGGGAAGGAAAGCAGGACATCTTCAGTAAGCAGATAAGGAGAGGAAGAGCAAGTCCCTCACCTCGTTGGTGCAGTTGAACAGAAGGGAAACCTTGGCTTTGTTGAAACAAAACCAGATCTAAATTAGAAAGATTTGACCCACCAGAAGGGGCCTGGGCACGATGGGAGGCGAGACAGGAGGTTCCTGGTGCACATCCCATTAGAGCAGCTCCACCCCAGGATGGGGGTGAAGCTGATCCTCTGACTTCTATGCTTTAAATCTGCCTGTGAGGAGTTTGTCCCCCTCCGAGGAAGGAAGACTTGGTCCATGCACAGAAAATAACAATTACATCACAGAGCCACAGCTCTTGATGTATCAGGCAGAAGGACCCCAGTACCAATGTCCACCCGATGGCATCAAGCTGCTGAGAACCCTGGGATGAGGGCATGGCCCATCAAGGAGACTTGCCTTCACACCACATGCCTGTGTTATTCGGGTTTATTGGGGCTTATTCCAAGGTATTAATTTAGTGCTTTCTCTATGGCAAAGCAGCCTTCAGGTGCTGCACAGACAGCAGACAAAAAATGAACAGTTATTCTTGGATAATTTATTCATAATTTTAATATAAACAGTTAATTGTTCAATACTCTGACACAGCAAGAATTTTTTTCCTCAATATTCAAAGATATTTTCTGTACATGTCACTGCTTGGCTCTTAGATTTGAAAAGACTGAAAAAATAAATCAAGGGGGAAGGTTTTCCTTTCTCTTCCTTTTTAAAAAAGAATAAATTGTGGCACATTTGATCCTTTATTTCAAAGGAGAGGTATCTGCAGTAGTATTTGTATTCTGGAACCTTAAATATGCAGAGGGAAAGGTGGAAGCAGCAAGAATAAACTGGGAAAGAAAATAAAAAAACCTCAAGGCCTCACAGAATATAATTTAACATGAAACTGTGGCTTATTTAAGTGCAAGCAAAGAGCATTTGCTCTGGGCTGTGTTTGATGAAGCCACTGCCCAGTTCCTCCATCCATGCGGGTCCTAAAACACAAACCAGTTCTGATACTCCAAGAATAAAATAATTTCACAAAGTTAAGCCAAAGGTAATGCTTTCCCTGTTTAAAGAACACTCTTACTTTTCCAGATTTAGAGGTGGCCTTTCTAAAATTCTCCATCAGTTTTTGTCACAGGAGAAGCCCTTGGAAGCAGAGATGGTGGAAGCATTGGAATCCTTCTGGGAGAGTCTGAATTAACAGAGCTTTGGCGTCGAGTCCAGCTCGGAGCTCTCAGGTAATTAGTCCTAAGCTCAAGATTTACTGGTGCTGCTGGGACTTACCAGGGGTCGGGGCTCAGCTAAGCAAGAGCATCCGTGCCCACTGGCGGGAACCTCCACTGGCGGTTCCTCTTTAGCTGCCAGGACTATCCCAAGTCTTCCCAGCCACCTGCTCCCAAGGGACCTTCAGGGCTGAGAAAAGAAACTATTTGAATCCCACCAGTTGGAACCTGGACTGGGAAAAAAACCACCACCAGGAACAGAATTTTTTGCCGATTGCGAACCTGTTGGCAAAAAAATAATAACGCCATAGGAGTTAATACTAACTTTATTATACAATATTTAAAAAGTCATTTCTCTACCTGTCCCCTTACAGCTTACATTGTGCTGCAGTGAATTTGCCCAAACTGCAAGAATAAGTGCTTCCTTCCAAGAAGGACAAGCAAATTCATTTTAAAAAGAAATACACATTTAATGACAGCAGATTTGCTAAACACAGTAACTTTAGAGTTGTTTTTCAACAGTCAGGTTCCTCCAGAAGTCAACTGGATGATTGGCTTCACTCTTGTGATGCTTGTAACGAGGCTGAACACGTCAAGGCCTTACACCGACACTCACAGACAGAATCCAAGCAGAGGGAACAGAGCCAAGCAGAAGGTAATAAAAAGGCCAAATTCCATTAAATTCATACAAATAACCAAACTAATCTTATTTCAAATTTCATGAAGTAACTTATTTCTTGATTCCAATCCATTTGACAGTTCCTTTCCCTGGACCACACACACAGGACATTATGAGGGGCTCTTTCGGAGGGACCGGGGTGCCTGCACGTCCTCCGAGGGCACAGCAAGAAGATCACAGGGTTTATCTGCAGTTCCTGGCTCACTCCAGGCTCGGAACCAATCCCGCACGGATCACGGGAGCACCTAGCACAGCCTTGAGAGTAAGGTTTTATGGCACAAAGATATTTGACTTTCTGACTTGTAAAAACAAGGTTCCAGTCTTGGTAGCAGGAATCGCCACTTGCAGCGAAGGGCATGGGGGACCTCAGGATCCGTCTCTGTGTCACAGTGGTCTTGAGAGGGAACTCGACTGCCTCCCTCCCTCCCCTAAAACAGAGGCTCAGCACCCTTCTGGCTCCTGTCGTTTCCTACTTGCCTTCATCACAGTCAGCTCAGTAACACAAGAAGCAACTTTGAGATTTTTTTTTTCCCAGCATTATATGCAACATACTAAAATTAAGCAAAGTGTCCCATCGCTATAATACAAATTTAGGAGGAAAGAGATAAACTACCCATAAATTAAGATTACCCTTTAGCAACCTAAAAGCAGCCTCTTCCACATCCACACAGCTGCTTTACGATCATCGTTGCAGTGTGGTCTAGTTCCCATCACTTTTCCCAACCCAGTGCTGGCACAGAGTTTTAGCTCTTCTATTTTACAACACAATAGAGTATTTACAAGCAGCCAAGACAGACACGTTCCTAACCTGGCAGCCAAGCTTTGCAGCACTGCACTGGCCTGCAAGAGAAGTTCCAGATTGGCAAGAGTCATTCAGGAAGTGGCAATTGAATTTATGTGGAAACCTTTCTGAGAAACCTCCAGCCTCACACTTCAGATATTTTCTCAGTGAAAGCTCAGCAGAGCACAGAGAGCTGTTTCTTGCTCCTCATGATTCACCACAGAGTGAATTTCTGTCTATGCGGGGATGCCAGATTGTGTCCAGGAGGCTCCAGCTGCTCCTGGACAGGCTGAAGAGTCTCTTGTGCTGCGAGTGAGACGTTCTCTGCACACAAAGGGCAGGAGCCAACCCTCCAGTAAATACTAATGCAAGGAAAGAAAGAGCTTCCCACTTGCTGATGCTGGCTGCCCTCCTCCAGCCATCCCACCTGCTCTCCTGCTCCTCCTGAGGAGCAGCAGTGAATGTTGTGCATCCACTGCAGCTGGGAATTCTCGCCCCATAAGGATCTGGCTGGAGCAAAAGCAGCAGCTCCCCGCAAGAAAGGCTCAGCTCAACGCCCCTGCCCAGGCTGGGGGCGCTCACAGCACCCCAGAGCTTTCATCTGGCACATGCGGTCTCCACTTGTATAAAGTCCTCATGTCTCTGAGCAGGAATCAGTGAGATCCAAGGAAGGATTGAGGCATCCCTGGGGCAAGGATCTTCCAGCTGCAGAGACCAAAGAGTTGGCTATGGGCTGAGTAAGGATCTTCCAGCAGTGAGAGCTGGGCTTTATGGGTGATTTTATTCTTCCTAATTCTACAGCTGAGTGTGATCAGGAACAGCCACGAGCAGCAACTACTAGTGTTATTTGTTTTTAAAAAGGAGAAACACGACACCCTCCCCCACTGGTACCACACACCTCTCCACACTCCGGGCACAAGGTAGGAAGGATGACCAGAGGAATCTTTACACACAGTGCTGGGTACAAACAACTGCTCCGTTTGGTGCAGAGGGAAGATGAGCCATGGGAATGGACTCTTGTCCATGGAGCAACACACGCTCCCTGGTTCAGTGATCTGAGTGTTGTAAACCATGTGTACTCACAGGGCCAACCAGTATCAACCACGTGGAAAAGCCAGACCCAATACGAGGTTCCAATATTCCTTTAGATAAAAGAGCTTCTCTTTCCACAGTTATGATCACTGCCACTGGAAATGTTATCAAAGCAAGGGTATGCTGGGAAAGATTTATTTCAGGAGGTCACTGGCAGGACCAAGACACCCCAATCCAACCCCAAGAGCAAGAGCTGGTCCCAGTCCCCGCTCCATGCTGGCACATGCTGCTCCAGGAGGAAGCAGCCTGCTTCTTTCAGGTCATGAGTTCACTACAGTCCAAACATTTAAATGGCTCTTTTGTTGTGTTGTTTTTTAAAAATCACAACAGAACTAATAGGACAAGATCAGATCCAAATTTGAAAATGGGTTCATTGTCACTACTGCTCAGATTAGGGATCAACAGTGACGAACTGTTCTCTTTCCCATTCCCTTCATGAATGGTCCCTGGTATTGGAATCAGCTGATACTGATTTTCCCTGATCCACAATAGGTCCAGACCAAAATATTTAAACAGGTTTAGAGGTGCGTAGTATTAAAAATATCCTTAAGAAACACTGAGGTAGACTGCACCAGAACAGGACAAAAATAATCCCACCACATCCACCTGCCAAGATTTTACGGATACAAATTTACATGTTCTGTGTGTTTAAGAAAACAAATTGTTTGTTGCTTTTTTTTTACAGTGTTTTATATTAAAATAAATAAAAAAATTCTAATAAGAAAAGCTTCTCTTCCTTAGAAAAGTGTGAGAATATGTCTTCTTTCCTGCAGTGTAGTATAGAGCTGCTAAACAGTTACGACTTTGTAAAGCAGAAGAAATGTAAACAAGGCCTTTTGAAATCCAGAGGTTCTCACCCATGTCTGGACTGTGTTTTCCACCCAAAATTTTTGAGCAAGCTGTGCCCTCCACCTGGGTCTGCACTGAGCAGCCTCCAGCAGCAAAGGGCCTGACAAAGGGCTCGTGGTGGTGCCCAGAGTCTGTCATTGCCCCTCGAGGTTGCACCCACCAGTGTGGGCTGGGAGAGGTGCTTCCCTACGCATTCCAGCAGCCCCTCTCCTTGGGTTACAACAGCAGCTCTGCCCGGGCTGGAATCAAAACCCACACACCAGCTAAGCTTCCCTGCTCTCCCCAGGCCAGGGAGCCTCGTTTTCTCCTGGCAGAGAGCACAAAATGGGTCTTGGACTTCTCCAGAAGTGGAGGACTGAGCATCTCTCCCCGCTTTTAAATCATCTCCTGTCTGACACGGGCCTGCAACATCCATCATCATCATCATCTTCATCTCCTGCTTCCGCCCTTCTCCAGCCGGACTCACTCCCTCCACACCACGAGACACACGTAGTTCCACAATTATCCTCTAACATAGTTTGCTAATCAATCACCTTTGCCTTTATGCAAACAGCAGCACAACAAAGCACAGTCCAGAAGGCCAAAGCTGACATCCCAACGAGCCGAAACGCCGCATCCCAGGAATTCTGCAGCAGAGATCTCAGGGAACACAAAGCTGGACACCTGCAAGCACGGACAGGCAGCAAACCACAGTCACTTCCAGCTTCTGCTGCAGGTGCAGAGCCCAGAGCCTTGTGCTCCCCCCTTCACATCGTGTCCCTTTCTCGGCTGCAGTTCGTGCTTGTCCTCTCCCGCTGGCTCCATCTGTGGCACAGAAGGCAAAGAGAGGGAGGAGCAGGATCAGGGTTGGGATGTTCTGGTGTCCTTCAGCTCCCAATGCCCAAATTCGGGCTTCGACTGGAGCCAGCTGACTGCGTTGTATAAATCACGGAACTATTACAAAGCCTTGTCAAGTATGAACTTAACATGTGCTTCATCGCTCCTCTGAGGCTAAAATTAGTTCGTTCTGAAATCTTTGGACCACTTTAAGACCAAACAATCCCCCAAACTCTCCCTTCCCCGAAAGGATCATAAACAGTCAATAATTTATATGAAGTTAAGATTTAAACTAAAGACATCTTTAAATATGTTACAACAAACAATATATATACTCAATGCTGTAAGGACAGAAAACTCCGTGTCTCAGGTCAGGGGACTCCTACTCCGTTTGGTCTTAAAAGTACCCACAAATCTCAGATTTCTGCTCCTTTGGCTCCCAGAACGTTTTCTTCATTTGTGAATGAGAGAAAACCTACTCCCAGAGTCCTCGGTATAAAAATAATCTGTTTAGGATTCAGTCCCTCCAGGGAAATGGGAAAAAAGATAAGTACACACTTCCGAGAAGAGGAAAGCTCCTGTGAGAACACAGAACAACTGAGTTGGAAGGGACCCTTCAGGATCATTGAGTCCAACTCCTGACCCTGTGCAGGACACCCCAAGAGTCCCACCATGTGCCTGAAAGCATTATCACTTGTGTACAAAACCAGAAGTGTCTATTTTGCTATAGGTTCCACCCCACACAGATATACTGCACACACACGCCCACGCACGCACCCCTGGGACTTAACCCCTTGAAAAAGGATGAAAGCAGCAGCTATTGGTCAATCTGAGGATCTGGCGCATCCGACTGAGGTGTTGAATCCTTCAGCTGTAGCGGAGAGTCTGCCTGAAAGCCTGGAATTCTACTGGAAATGCTTTTGTCCTGCAGAAGGTTTGTTCCACACTGTGAGGCTGTAGCTCAGACACCAGCAAGCTTCACGTCTTCTATTGGCAAATGCAGATGCTTCTCCTTCAGTTTAGCTCACACAGTTGCTTCCTGTTGTGAAACCATGGTTACAGAAGGGACAGCAGCCATGGAAACCTCTTCCATTTATGTTCACAGATAAGTCCACTGACAACCAGTCAACTTGGCAAAAAAAAAAAAAAAAAAGATTAAAAATCTGAAGAGTTTGTAGATG